TCGCAGCAGATGCATGTTATGCACACAGATTCATTACTATGAAAAAGGTGTTTTTCCAACCTTTCTTCATAGGTCACATTTTCCAAACTGTTCCAGCAATGCTAACTGCAATGGAGTCCTGCCATTTGGTAGGCAATGGGTAGATTCCCTCATCTGGGAACCAAGTTTTCCCCCTTTTTTTTTCCCCTTCCCCAGCAATCTCGTATTTCTTTCACTCACATTCAGTTTGCTTACACCAGTTTATCCCTCACTCATTTTTAGTGCTGCCAGTTTCTTCACATTCTGTTATCACAAATGTTTTTCCGCTCTGAGTACCCTTCTGAATGCCTGAACTTGCAATTTCCCATTGCTGATTTTGGATCATTTCTATAATACACTAAGCATCATTTTAAAAGCTAGCCGTGATCTTCAGAGTGCCTGCAACTGTCTTAAATGTGATGTAATCATTTAAACAATGTTGTAAAAAGAGTCACTGGTACTTTAGTCAAAGAGTTAGATATACAATAGGAAAGAACAAAAAAATACCTACAGAAACATATCAACTCTATTTACTAAAATATATCACAACTGTTTCTCTTCACTTATCCACATGAGCTATCACTTATAAAGGAGAAAATTTGCTTTTACAAATTTACAAGTTTTTAGACATTCCGCCTTCCATTCCCAGATCATAAATCCAGGGAATGAGTCCACAGCTCTTTCAATAGTAACCTGTAAATTGACTATGGAGCCCAAGCCTTGCATGCAGTTCAAGTGAGCCAATGTAACAGCTCAGTGGTCCTGAAATGGAAATTTTTGCTCTCCTTCCCTCATTTCCACTTGCACCATCTCCCTCTTGTGCCAGCTCTCACATTCATCTAACCCTTAAGAGAGCTGTTTCAGCTCATTAAATTGGCAAGACTTCTTTTGCTGTGTCAGCCTTTTGGCAGGCTCTTTTTCTTTAGAGACAGGTTAAAATCACTGAGCCCACCTCACCTGATTGCAATCTCATATTGTTTAACATCAGCTGGAATTGCCCCACATTGGTGGGGCAGTATTCCCTTCTGCATCCCCTCTACCCAACCGTGCCAGTCCCTTGTGGTGGCGCTGGCACTTAAGCTGACTTCAGCCCAAAACTAATTCCTTTCTTTTAAGGTTGCTCCTTGGCTGGATAATCTCACTGAATGATACAGCTGCACAGAGAATCAGCCTGAGCAACCTCCATCTCGGAACATCACACAAGGCATCCTATGCAAACACCACCAAAAGATCCCAAAGCCTTTTCCACTGCAGAATGAAGAGCAGCCTGCAGCTTCCCCAGGAAGCAGTCAAGGGTTATGTCCATTCCACAAGCAGCAAAACTCAGATGCACATGTACAAGGTGACTTGGCAGGGTCATACAGTAACAGCAGGGAGGAGCTTTGCCACCGCCTCGATGCAGGTTTTGCACCATGATACTGATGCAGTCTTTCCTCCACGTGCTAAATCAGCTAAGGGGATCATAACCCATTCTGTTCCCATCTGGCAAAATTTCTCCTCAGACAGGCAAAAATACCTATTGATTCTACTCTGTTTCTCAAGTAATTGCGCATATTCAAAAGACAGCCTATATACATAAGTGCTATTAACTGTATTGCTATACCCCATATCATAATTACACTGGTTACATATAGAGGTTCTCAAAAAGCAGGAACAACACTAAGGAAGAGTGAATATTCCTTCTCATTACTCTTTTCCCCATTATTTTAGGCCTTGACAGAACTACTGCCTTGATTTTATTCTTCTGCACACTATATCAAACATTAGTACTTACTCTGTATATTGTATTTGTCAAATAGAACATATATTTTTTAAAAACCATTATTAACCTCATCTCTTCCCCAAGCATACCTGTTTTTCACAGGTCATACTCTGAGATTGCACTGTTTTGTTCTTGGCTCTTTTAGCTACATCTAGTGCACAAAATCATCCCAGCAATGACTCCCTTATTTTCCCTACACAAGCCATAATCAGGGAAAAAGGCAAGGCTTTTTTCAGCTACCATAAAGTATGCAATTAGCAGTAAGTGCAGGCTTTGTGCTCCCCTCAGGAAATGGCTTGTTTCCTTACAACTTCAGTTACAACATGCAAGATTCATTAGGCTTCCACAGCACTCAAGCTGAGGGGCATTAAATATTTCTTACGGGAAGAAGCTCCACTCGTATTTGACAATAAGTTATCACTATTTTGCATTGTATCATTTGCATCACTCACGCTTTTCATATGCTACCAAGTAGAGAAATGCAAACTAGAACAAAATCTCTATCCTTTTCAGAGAATTGGCACACACTAAAAATTATCAGAGTTGCTTTAACCTAACTACAATTTGCCACAGTCAACTTTTCCCTGTTATTTAACTGGTCTACTTAAATGACCAGGACTACCAAGTGACACTGATACCTCTCACAAGCACCACAAGTCACAAGCAGTGACTTGTTTTTTCACTGGAATTGATCCTACATGTTACAATTCAAGTAACTCAAACTCAAGTTTATTAACTCTCCGTGTGTCCAAAAGGTTCAGATTTGCCATACTAGGCAGATCTAAGAGACAACACAAAGAGTTATTACTCTCATACTTAAAGGCCCAGAAATATAAAGTGAAGGTAACACAAGCAGACCGGGGCACAGAGAAGGATCAAATGCAGGAACTGCACAAAACCAAACTATTAGAGGGGAAAGCATATTAACTATTAGAAGGGACAGCATAAAGGGAACGCCAAGAACTTCCACAGGCCCTATCCCAGCCAAGCCCCCAGGTCAAACTTCATCAGACAGAAAAACATCTTTTTCTCAAGTGACAGAACAATCTATTCCGCAATTTAATAATTCTTTTGTCAGCAAGCCCTATGAATCACTATGCCCTCTTCTACTGTGCATCATACTTGCCACGTAGGGGAAAAGTCTGCAAATCATCCGTTTGCAAAAGCAGTTTCAGATTACTCCGTTTTGAAAGGGACACACATAGTGTTCCGGCCAGCTGTGCAGAACCTGTAGTACTCTGCAATCTGCCTAGATCAGACAGGCAAGAGATCCACTCCTGCTCAGTCTTAAAGAACAAAGGATTTAAACAAGGCTCTTATATTTACTGAAATAAATTATTATATCCAGCTACCATTACTAAAGGTCTTATGTTCAATAGAAATCTCAGTTTTTGGGTAAAGAATATAGGAATAGTCTGGGATTTTTTTTTCCTATACAAGCAGCTATAACTTTGTTAGCATCTGACATCTCCTTTCAGCTGCTGTGTCTAAGCATTGGTAATGTTTTATTAAATCACTTTTTTTTAGTACAAGAAGCTGAATGCAATTCCTCCTCATTCCAATTCTTAAAATCCATAACAGGAAAAGAAATAACACAGGCCACTCATTTCTGCCAAGTTAAATATCCTTGATAGAGCTGAAATAACCTTATCACTGTCTCATGCAGATTGAGCACTGACCACACAAACTCTTTATGCCGTTGGAACAATCACATAAATATTATTCTTATTGAATGTTATAAAATAATTTTAAACACAATCACCTATTTCCATTTCAGTCCATACAAACTGATTTTTAAGACTCTTATAGTACTCTAAATCCCAGGGGTGGTTCTACAGTATCCCATTAACTCACACAAAAGCCAAAGGCTCCGTGCAGCTGCAGTTCAAACCTTGAACACCAGCATGACTCGTGTGGCAGTCTACTTGTCCTCTCCAAAATTAAGTACCTCTCTAAGCATCTGGGGAGACTTTACATGGAACTGTTTGTTCTTCCCAAAATATTTATCCTCTAGCATTATGTTATTCAGTATAAATCAGAGGCTACTAAGTCCCATTAACACGAAGAAATTAGAGCCATGATGAAAGAAGCATAAAAAGACTATAAAAGGCTGCTTTAAAGAATTCTGTCAGATGATCAGATTATTCTTTGGCCTATCAGCGAAGACTAATGGGTAAAGGCCTGAGTTTTCAAAGCTGGTATGCAAACAATGCAAATCCAAAACCAGGCTGCCCCTACTTGAGAGTCAAATTTGTGACAGCAGAAGGATTACTTTATACAAATGTCAAAAACAAGAAGATTCTGGTGATTGCTACTGATATTCAATCTAACCTGCCAAAAAATTATACTCTCAAAAGATTCAAAGACAGGATTGCAAAGATCTTTCTGCAAATGCCGCACTTGAACGTGCCATTTTATATATCCTGTTTCCAGGTGTAGAATTTGCTACTGCAAAACACAGAATCCTGAATGCAACATTAAAAAACAATGATTCTGATCATTTTTTCCTTTAGCACTACCAGGAACAGGATCACACAAAATGTTTAAGCACAGATTTGGAAATTAAAAGTCCTTGTTTTGTTTTGGTTCCCACCCCAAATTTGAGTTTAGAAAGTGTAGCTTTTTGAGCTAGTTTATTTCTTGAGCTGTTAATCAAGGTACTCCTGTGAAATGCAAACAAGTTTTTGCTGACTTTTATAAGACTTAAAGGCCGAAGGTCTGTTTTGTACTAGAAGATGACTAGATTGTTGCAATATTTTTTCTATCTGTATGATCTGTGTGGTTCGGGGATATATTACTGAGTTATCACAGGAAATCTTCTATCCAGTATCCACATGTTGAAACTAATACAGGCACAGAAGTATCACTGAATCTCTTCTGAAACCCCATGTTACAAACTGCCCATTATTTTCGACGCCCATTTGTCTCTCTCAACAAATTGTGATAGCAAATTCTGCTGTTGTCGAAGTCTGTGCCTCAAGAAGATCTAACAGTCTTACAGCCCTGACAGGACAACTAATTTTTATCTGAGCTGTATGACTTTTTGTAGGGGATGGGGAACACAAAATGACACCTCTTCCCAGTTCCACGCATCTCGACTCTGATCTTATGCTCATTCATTCATGCAAAATAATTAGGTTTATATGGTTTCCTCACATAAATCAGGATTTATATTCTTTTCACAAAAATCACGAAGGAAAAATGTATTTAATGTACTCACCGAAGGATTTCTTTCCGAGTGAAGAATGTACAATCCTATTAAAAACAAGAAAAAGAAATTACTTCCTAACCTTTTGGAAGGACACAAATTCAAACTCAGATCTGATAGAAAAGTCAAAAGTTGCTATTTAGTTATTGTCTAGTTTGGGTTCAGAAAATAACATAGACTAGAAAATGACTGAAGTGTGGAGTCTCCCAAGGACAGGATTATCAGGAAAACATACACACACACATATATATCTATATATTTTAAAAATATGGAAGCTCAGTTGAAGAAAAAGGCTGTGACCTCTCCACTGTTGATGGGAATCACAAAAAGTCACATCTTATTAATGGAAATAACCCCTGATTGTTGCTATCTAGCATATATTTACATATATAGCATATATTAAGGACAAAATCTACCCTACATCCACTCTGGTGGCAATGCAGTATTGAGTGAGCTGTTCAGAACAGACGGTACATTCAGAGAATATGCATCTTTCTTGTCACATAGCTAGTGGCTGTGAGGGTATATACAGGAAACAAAGGATGACACTGTGGTCAAGACACAAAGTTTTTGCTAATTACCCACTTCATTCATAGGCCAAGATTACAAAACAAGGCAGCAGCCCAAGAATTAAGCCTGCACTTTTTAGAATGAGACCTAAATATGTTTTACTTTTTCTAATTAGCTGGTAACATCCAGCTTAAGTGATTATTGTAACACACAGAGCTGGTATGGACCACCAGCCCTGCTGCCTCCCAGCCAATTAGTGAAGAACATTTCATTCCTGGGCTGAGTCTTTCTGGCTAACTGGCTGCTTCTTCCAGGCAGGGGAAGCAAAGGATCACAGGTGGCTGAAGCAGCCAAGCAGCTTGTCTCAGGTATCCACGCACGCTATCAAACCTGCACGGTATCAATTATTGACTTTGCTTGCTCTCCTCCATATAAATTGGTAGGAGAAGCAGCTTTCTCTCGTGTATTGTGTAGCAGAATAGTGTTACCAGGCACAGCAGGAAGGCACCTTGCGAGCTGCTGACAATGATTTTGCATTATCTGGAACTGCATAAAGTGAAATAGGAGCCAGCTGGTTAAGCCTTCATTAATTCCAGCACGTTCAACACTTACAGCCAAACTGTCACCAAGGATGCTTCACTTAGCAGTGAAAGGCAGGGGCGTGATGGTCCCAGTAGCTCTTACTTACACAGAGAGGTTGTGAATCCCTTCTGAACATGGTTCCTGGCTGCAGCATTTCAATTATGCCTGCCTATTGCTTGCAAATCATAGAGAAGGAAGGAGGAAGTGTTGAAAATTAACAGTGGTTTCACAGACCATTTGCAGAGCTACCCACACTCAGAACACCCCAAGTTACTCCAGAGTGACATTAGACTATCCTCTTGACCAAAAGCAAGATCATTCTGTTGGGAGAACAGTCCTAAGTTGGATTACAGTCATCATGGAACAAGGGTCTAAATATCATAATTACATTTTGTAGTTGCTGGAGTTCTAGCAATTTAATTCCCATTTAATTAAAGACTTTTGGCCAGAGAAACTCAGAGGTGAATCATCCAATTTTCTTCTAGCAACTTAATTCATACAGAAAATGCAAAATGATGGACAATAAACTAACATGTTAGACTAGCTCTTTCACTGGGAAAAGTGTAATGGGTCCTGAAAAGCATCTACCGTTTGTTCATTCGATGCTGTTCATCTTCCTTCATGCCAGACATTCAAATTTAACATAAGTACATACAAGCTTACTACAAACCTATAGAGCAGCCTGTCTATTGTGCTTGGTTATCAAAGCTGCTGGGAATCCTGCCAGAAAAGCAGGGGTTAAACATTCAAACGCAAACTGCCATTGTTTTCAAAATTAGTACCAACTCAAGATTTCTGGCAAAAAAATATTCTGAGTTTTTGATTTCTAATGCTATATAATGGCCTGAAGAAACTATGCTAATTGAAGACTCCTCTTATGGATTTTTGGATATTTAGAATCAAGACTTTACCTTGAAATGTCACCTACTCCAGCCCCTGAGAAAATATTCAAGCTCCTAAGATGATCTCCCACTCAGATCGCCCTTGTTCTCTTAATAAATGGGTTAATTAAGAGGTCAGGTCAAAGAGGATCACTGCAGCCTTTTGGAGGAGGCTGCAAGCATCCTCCTTATGTCTACCAAAGACAGTGAAAATAGTAAAAAAAAAAAATCCCATTGATTTCAATTCGATTGTGAACTGGTATAATGGGGCTTGATTCTCAAATTTGGCATTTAAGGAGCTTAACTGGTTCTCCTGTAAACAATCGTCCAGTGAAGAGAAGAAAATTAAGACAACTGATGCTCTTAGGTTCTTTCCAAGGCTTTGCTCTTGGGGATTTTTGTGTCTTTTCCAAGTACCCCAAACTGCCTGTAAAGCAGGGTTAATGGGCTCTGCTTTTATAACACACTTTATCTTGTTTATACTTGTTTAATAACAAACAGCGCATACAACAACATAGAAGCATAGAGCACATCTGGAGCACACAGCAACCCAGAGGCTGCTAGAAGTGTTCTGTAAAACCAGACAGGTAGCAGCCTTGTTCCTTGAACTGCTATGTGAAATGAACGCAGGTTTAGGACAGAAGAGCAGCAGATCAAAACACCACGGTTTATCTACCATTTCTGCCACTGGTCAATAAGACTTTGAAAACTCCTAGCTGGGTTCTGGTTTGATGGTCAGTTCTGCAGGCAGTTGAATGAAAAAATAGGACTGCACTATTCTGCATAAAGCATAGTTTCCAAATAAAATTAACTTCGGGTAAATGAAGGAAATACTTCTAAAGCGAGAGAAGAAACCGGAGGCCAGGTAACAGAATGAGAAAAAGGCAATTAAAATAAAGCATGCAGTGCTCAAAGCCATTGCAAAAATAGTGTTTTATCCATTAAACGCACATTACTCCTCTAAGGCAAAAACATGTATAATTGTGCTTTTTATATGGCATAGTTCCCTACAGGCAGGTTTGCAGTGATCCTGCAACAGCTTCATTGGAAAGTTTGATAAATAAGGAAATAATGCAAAACAGTCCTAGCCATAAGAAATCATTCTGAATTAGAGAAACAGCCTCAAACAAAAACCAGCAAGCTGCAGATAAAGGAAACCTATGAGTAATGGGAATCTGACACTGCTCTCAGTGCAAGGCAGACCAGACTCTCACTGCGATCTCACCGAGCAGCTTCTGAAAAATAAGAAGCACTGAGCACTGCAGCATTTTAAACATTATTACCATTGGAACAAACTAGTTCAGAGGTTTCATTTGTAAAACCACAAATGCTCTTCTGCACACAGCCAAAAGACACCCAATGTGTATTATATTTAATCAAAGCATTATAAAAATAGCACCCCACGAAGCAACTGATCTGTCCAAGTTAAAATATACGGCATAGATTTAAAAGTTTTAATAAGATTTATTTAAAATTTTTCCTGACCTGCCAAAATATTACAAATGCAATATTCAACACAAATGCAATACTTGACACAAAGCTGCAGACTAAGCTGTGTAATTGCACTAGCACTTTGCTGATTTCAAATTCAAGCTTAACGACAGAGCTTCATTTTATAAATAACATTTCTTGATAAATCATAATTTATTTTATCTAGTTTTGCATGCCTCTTCTTGAATATATTTTAACTAGGGTTCTAGTAAAATGTTAGCTCTGTAACAGAAAAATCAGTTATTATTTCCTATTACTATTTATTATACTATTACCAGGAAGACATACCAGTTTGCTCAGGGCTATATTAAATAATTTACAGTAAATATTCCCAGGAATAAACAATTAGAGCAAAGAGCAGACCTCAAAACACTAGTGAATTAGTGAAAACACTAATATTCGATATAATGTATTTGTGCCCCCAAATTCCAAGCTGTGCATCTATAGAGGAGGGGAAAAAAAAAAAAAGAAACAAGAATCACACGCAGGCCACCTATGGAAGCAACGCCAGGGAAGGCAGCAAGGCACCTGCATGGGAAGGCAGTTGGCCCATACCACTGGCACAGCTTCTCTGCAGTTCCTAATCCCTATAAAGATGCTGCTCGCTAAGAAACGCGGTGCACTGAGGCCAACATATGGGCCTCTTTTGCTTTACTATATGTAAATTATCTGGTTCATTACAGAACTTGGCATCTGAAACTACAAACGACTTTTAAAAGCCTACTTTTAAAATATTATTAGATTATTATGAAATGCATCTTACAAATCAATATTTGCCTTTTTCCTAGTCAGACTTTAATGATTTTGCATTTCATATTTTAAGAGCCAAAAAAGTGTCATATATTCCAAGAACATGGGAAAGAAATCTCTGATAGAATTAGTTTTCCTATAAGGTTAACCTTTTAAATGAAGTGAAAACTAGTGAGGAAACCAATTTTCACAAAAGTCTCTCTCCCTTGAATTTCCAACTGATAACTACCTTAAGAACTGTCAAACAGTAAAGCAAGGTTTAAAGCAATTTGAAGCTTTACAGTCTTTAGCAAAGTAAAACAAAGCAAAACTATCAGACCTTTAATACCATCCAGTCCCATTACAGATCTCTGCAACAGTTTCAACTAGCCATCCATCACCTATTTTAACAACAACTCTTTAAAACCCTCATATGTGACCTCATGATGTGAGGTCATCCTGTGGATGACCAAAATTATAATTATTTCATTTAAATGCAAGCGTTCAGAGTGACTTCAATATGACAGTCTGAGCATATAAAAAGTTTACATATTGACATTCCAGAAAAGCTTATACAGATCAAGAGCATTTTACTCTCTGATTTCATTGATGATCAGAGATGAATGTATGAGCTCCTCAGATTTTTTCAGTTTAATCTTGAAAACTAAAGCTATTTACACATGATTTTATCATACCTTAGGAACATTAACTTCTCACTTTTCTGTCATCTGTTTAGTTGTATTAAATGTCCACTTTGTAACAAACTTGAAACATTTTCTATAAAAATAGACATTCTCTGATAAAAACAGTATTCAGGTGCTATATAGCTGGAGTAATAATAAAAAATAAACTAG